CTCCTATTTATGCTTCCTGCATAGTTGGGATGACAGGCAGACACCACTGGGCCTTATTGATTGAGATGGGGTCTCGAGAACTTTTTCCCCAGGCTGCCCTTGGATTTGTGATCCTCCCAGGTAAACTAGGATTATAGGCACAAGTCACTGTGCTGCTGAGATGATTTTTGTTCTTAAAATTTTGGCATGTTCTCTTCTAGTTAAATATGAGGTTGGCAGTCTGGTCCTGGGTGATCTTTTGCAAAACTGTAGTATCTTTTCAGTGGACATAACTACCTAGGCATTTAATTGCCATTGAAAGTTCAGTATACCTTAATCTGAATTATCTGTCATTATTTTATGCTGGTTCTCCCACTGAGCTGGTTTAGTATTTCAATGAGAATATTATTCTCTTGGTTACTAATGCTTGCAATTTGGAGTCATTTAAAAAATATCCTACCTTTCAAACTCTGCATTCAATCACTTGTATAAATATCTGATTTTCCTCTCCTTCAATACACAGCAGTGTCTAATGTATAGAAGGTGGCCAGGAAGTAATCACCAAATGAATGTTAATAAAAATAGCAGGATAGTTGTCTTTAATGTCAAGGAGGTGATTTAAGTCAGGTGTTTTAATTCATCATACACAAGTAGCTGAAGGAAGTCTTGCTTAATATTTACTTTCTACCTGATTGTTCTTTTCTGAAATCTAAATACATTGTTGCTCTACCATTCAGTGCACACCTTCCAAGGCCTGCTTAGACCTGTTGCAGAAAATAATACTAGGAGATGGGGCTCAAAACCTCATCAGCTAATGTGCTTCACTAACCAAAGTGCAGCAGAACATTGTGTCATCTGGGAATGTAAAGTCATGAAAAAATTATTAAACACCTGGCACCACTACTTTAATCATGTAAACACAAATACTAACCATTTCAAAAGCAGCTGTGATTTTTTTGAACATAATTTTTAAAATCTTTGCAAAAGTTCCCCCAGCAAATGGCTACAAAAGATGAGAAGAAATGATGCAAATTTGTCATAAGAATCGCTGTTAAACTCAAGGCTTTATTGAATAATCTAATGTGCAAAGTAAATTTAAAGATCTTCCACTTTTTGCCACACTTACAGTTGGAAGCTTTTTAAACGTCTTGATGCCCAGGTTGTACTTATTATGAATTCAATCAGAATGTCAGGAGGTAAGAGGCAGCCATCTGGATTTGGAAGGTGATTCCAAGTGTAGCAGTTTGGGAACCCCTGCCATTGAGTATGGGAAAGAGAACTGTATCATGCTCAGCTGAAATCAATACTGTGAAGGTGAAAGATTATTGAGGTAGAAGTCTCACTTTTATTTTATTTTCATATGTTCTGGGCATATGGTATACATTTGAATACTTACTGAATTAAATTGAAGTAGACTTAAGTCAATCTTAAGTTGTCATTCCTAGAAATCAGGGTGCTCACCATCTATCTCAATATTCCTTTTATTTACCTTTTCTCATACCTCTGAGCATTAAACGTATTACAATAGTTCCTAATACTGTATTCCATCTCAGTTCATGACTGCTGAAAGTTTTATCATATATACCACTCCAGCATGTCAGAAGCTATCCAGATCCAAATTCTACTACCACTCCTCATGAGGTGTTTATTCTAGTCAGCTCCAAAAGTCTATTTTAAAGTCTTCTTCCTTAGAACATCTTGATACCAATGGTCTTAAATTGGTTTCCTTCACACAGACTGTAGATGGGAGTTGCACGTGGAGGGTTTATTAAGTGGAGTGCTCTTGAGAGAACACCCATAGGGAGGGAGGAAGATAGGGTTGGGAATGGTGACCAGTGCCCAAATTGCAATGGCAGCCATGGCCTGTCTTACTGGAAGGTGTAGAGATGGAATGAATGGTTCTTCGGAGTTGTTACAAATTGAGCCAAAAGAGACAGGTGTTTGTATCCCAACAGGGATACATTTTATCAAATCCATTTACTTTAATAAAGTTTATTAATTTTTAAATGACTCTTAATTTGTTTTTAATAACTTTAAAAGTAAAGCATGGGGCCAGGTGCAATGGCTCAAACTTGTAATCTTAGCTACTTGGGAAGCAGAGATTGGGAGGATTGCAGTTTGAGGCCAGCCTAGGCAAAAAGTTTGCAAGACCCTATCTCATCCAATGACTGGGAGCTGTGGTGCACACCTGTCATCCCAGTTATGCAGAGAAGCACAAATAGGAGTATCACAATCCAGGCTGGCAAGGACATAAAGGAAGGCCCCATCTCCAAAATAACTAGAGCAAAATGGGCTGGAGGTGTGGCTCAAGTGGTTGAGCTCCTGCTTTGCAAGTACAAAGCCCTGAGTTCAAACCCCCGTCCTACCAAAAACCAATAAAAAAACCCCCACAGAGTTATAAGCAGTAGTTTCTAGCTAACATTAATAGAGTACTTACAGAGTAGCAGGTATGGTTCTAGGCATATATTACTTAATTCTCACAGCAACCTTACAAAGTGGACTCTGTTGTTATCTCTTTTGTGTACATGAGGAAATTGAGGCACAGGGGTTAAATAACTTGATGAGGTCACCCAGTAGATTGAGCTGGGATCTGAAGTTAGCAGTCTACTTCCACAGTCTTTTTTTTTTGCTTCTTGGTGATACTAGTGATTGAATTCAGGGTCTGCCACTTGAACAATGCCCTAGTCCCTTTTTGGGGGGTTAGTTTGTTTTTTAGATAGGTTCTCCAGCTTTTGCCTAGGCCATCCTCAGACTGCTATCCTGCTAACTCTACCTCCTGAATAGCTGGGATTATAGGCAGGTATCACCATGTCCAATTTGAGTTCTAAATTCTTGACAGGCACATTTCATATTCCCCCCTTTTTTCAGATGCAGATCTTGAAGACTGAGATGCAGATTAGAGGTTGAGAAACTTCCCTAAGTTTGTAGTAAGATAAAGAACTGGGATTCAAATTCACAATTTTGATTTTATGGCTCATTTCTTTGAAAACAAACAAACAAACCCTTCTCTGCTATACTGTCTTCCCGTAGGCCTTAGACCAGGTGCTCTAATTATCTATTGCAAAATCTTGATGGTAATCTTATGAGGTCGCTGTTGTACCTCCCATTCACAGACAGGAAACTGAAAGTTGCACAGGGAGACTTAGCAAATTATCTTAGATTATGCAGATATAAGTTGTAAAGTTGCAGTTCACATCCAGGTCTGCCTGACTCCAAAGCCCACTTTCTTAAACTTTATGCTTTTCAGGAAGGGAAAGATGTGACAAAAACAATAGCATTAGTGAAAAAGGGTACTTGCAAACTCACTGTTAGGTAGTGATGTGATGTGATGTCACATCACTAAGGTGAAGGTCACCTAGAAAACACTATTTGGAGTGAGGGAGGTGACAGTCCTATGCTAATCTTTACTGGTGGAGTACACTTGGGGCATTGGGTGCAAGCCTGGGCCCCCCCATACCATGAACTTTAAGAGAAGATTAGTGATAACACTTTAAATTCATTCTGATGTGAACCACCCCACCATGATCACTGTTTGAGTAATAGTCTACAGGAAGACCTGTTCACAAGCTGAGAATATGAATACAAGCTGTTCTCCAATAAAGAGAAGACTGGAAGGCTGAATAGCTAGTATTGAAAACATCATCACATGGTAGGGGATTGGATACAATTGGTACAGTCGCTGAGGAAAAAACTAGGCTGCATGCATAGAAAATCAAAGAGATGGATTTGGCTGCACACAGGAAGGAAGGACTGACTGGCATTTGGGACTTCTTAGAAGAGTAATTGGTTTCCTTGTAAGATAGTGCATTCTAGTTCCCTGTTAAAGCAACTGAGTGTCCAGTAATTGTGGGTGTTAAAGATTTATATATGTCAGTGTGGTGGGTCTTAAGTTTTAAGTGCATATAAGAATCATCTGGGGAAACTTGTTAAAGGCTGAAGCATGCTTTACCTTCATTCAGAGTACTGCTTCAGCAGATCTGGGGTAAAGCCCAAGAATCTGTGTTTTAAATAAGCAATCCAGTGAGTTCAAATCAGGTGGCCACTGATTTACTCTCTGAGAACTAGTGAGTTAAATTCAGATCTTGTCCACTTATTCCACTAATAAACATTTTAGGAAAAAATAGTGTGTAAAGACTGTTAACAGAAGGGTGTCTTAAGTTTTGTTAAAGATTTAAGACAAAACAATTTAATACATTGGTAGAACTAGAGATGAAATGATTGGAATACAGGATATTAGGATGTATACAGAGAAAGCTTTTGTCATAACATATTAATAATACAAGATGTAAGTCCAGTTTGAAAATCTTTAATACTTTAAATAAAAAACCCATTCTACTTATGCCAAGAAAAAATCTGATGGAATCCTGGAAAAAGTTACAGGATTGTTCTAATGGACAGCACCTGTGTAAGGTGAGCCACCAATCAGCCTTTGGGGCCAAGGCATATATAACCTGCCGCCTAAGCTTACAGAACAAGTGTGGGTGAGAGTTAGCAACAGAGTAGGGTATAGTTGTTTTTCTAACTCGGGCCCACTTTTTGGTGGGACTAAAGAGATTTTGCTGGCAAGTATACTACATGTTTGGCTAATCTTAGCTTAATGTGTGCAATTTAGTAAGCCACGTTTTCAAACTGTTGTCTCTTGATACGGTTTGCCCTTGCCAAGTAATATTGTAAATCATGGTGGTTAGTGTCATTTATGTCCCTGTTAGGATCTTTAATGCTTAAGTTGCATAATGATATTCTATTTAAGTGTTTTAAAATTCTTAAAAGACTTTTTTTCCCCCTCTTTTAAACTGGGTGAGTTGAGGAACTGGTGTTCTTGGCTGTTTTGTTGATTGATAGTGTTGATTTACACATTAAGTTCACTAAGGATTTCTTTCAAGCAAATGATTTTTTAATTTAAGGCATATAAAAATTCCAAGTGGAAATTATATATTGCTAATTTCAACCTTTTTTTCTATGTAATATTTTTCTTGCTTCCTTTTAATGGTATTGGTTCTACTCGTAGGCTGTTTTGAACCATGAGAGACGAAATTGCAACAGCAGTTTTCTTCGTCACAAGACTGGCAAAAAAACATGAAAAACTGAGTAAACAGCAAATAGAGGTCTTTGCAGAAAAGTTGATGAGAATCTTGTTTGAAACATACAGAGGTCACTGGCACCCTGGTTACCCTTCTAAAGGACAAGCCTTCAGGTGAGAGCTGGCATGACACAGGGTGTGGTGAAGAGAAGGAACCCACAAGCAGTAGTATCACGAGGAAAGTGTAGTGGTTTTGTTGTCTGTCTACAAGTAGTGAACGTTTTATGGGCTCAAGTTCATTTGTTTGAACATGGACTTGAAAGAAAGATGTGTGGTGGATGACCATGTGGTTGACAACTGTGATATGGGTCAGATAATTTCTAACTTCTATTTGTCTTGAAAGACACACAGTGAACATCTGGTGACATAATTATGTTACTTGCAGAATACATTCTGAATATTCTGAATCACTTTTGATTCTTTACTCCCATTTGTAAGAGTATTGGGTGAGGGGAAGGTTGGGGCAAGGACAGAACTGTGAATTTTGGAGTAATGCATCCACAATGTGATTTTTTTTTTCCTACTGAAGTAAGTGCCTTCCATCATGTCTTCATTTCCCTTCCCTTTCCTCCCCAAGGTGTATCAGGATAAACAATAATCAGAATAAAGACCCTATTTTGGAAAAGGCTTGTACTGAGAGTAATGTGAAATTTTCTCACCTGGGACTGCCAACGGAGATGACCATATGGGTAGATCCTTCTGAAGTGTGCTGTAGGTGAGTAATCTCACTTTGTGTGCTCTGCAACTCCTAGAAGATTTAGGTTACTCAATCAGCTCTCTGTACCTTTTATGAACGATAATGTCCCAAACCTGTGGTTTAGCAATAAGAACACTGCTTAAGATTTTAGTTGCAAGCTTGTGTTAGACAATCCAGACATCCATTCAGAGTGGATGGAGTGTCAAGCGCAAAGACTTTAACCACTGCACCATATTGCAAATTGTAGAGTTAGGACTTCTAAGTACTACAGGAAATATGAGGAAGGAAGAGAAGTTATCTACCATGGGGGCAATTCAGTCTATTAGTTGAATTGAAAGAAACTGGCCTTTGTCTTTTCCAGCAATTAACCAAAATAGCCTTTGCAGGATATCCTCACTCATTATAGAACAGTTCTATAGCTGAAGATCATAGTGTCCTCCCATGTATTTGTTTGAAATAACTCTTGGTATTTTTGAAATACCTCTTTTTAAAAGTTAGTATGTTGTCTCTAGACAAGATTAGAAATAAAATTTGTGGGAAGACTCTGGGCACAATGTCTCACACTTGTAATCCCCGTTACTCCAGAAATGGAAATCGAGGCCAGCCTGGGCAAAAAGTTAGAAATACTGCTCCCCCATCTCAACCAATAAAAGCCAGTTATGGTGGCAAGCACCTGTCATTCTAGCTAATCAGGAGGCTTAAATAAGAGGCTTAAATAAGAGTGCAGGCTGGCTGGGACTCTATTGGAGAATTAAAGCAAAAAGGGTTTGGAGGAGGGATGGGGAATGTCTAAAGTGCCTGCCTACTGAGTGCAGGCCTTGAGTTCAAGTCTCAGTGCCTCCAAAATGAAAAATTGAGGGAAGCTGAATCCCTAATGAATAATTTCTTTTCCTACTTAGGTATGGTGAGAAAAGTCACCCATTTACAATCGCTTCTTTTAAAGGCAGATGGGAGGAATGGGAACTAGCTCTCCAAATTAGTTATGCTGTTAACAGAGCCACCTTGGATGACTCCTCTGGCACCACTTCTGATGAAGAAAGTTGTAGGGAGCCTCGGGCCATTCCTAAAGTCAGCAATCCCAAGAGCATCTATCAGGTTAAGTGGTTTCCACTTCTCTGCACTTCTAACACTAAAAAGATTGTGCTTGATGTAAACAAATAAAACACGAGAATGAGTCTATAAAGATTTAAAAACCTCCAATGTTAATATTTTGACAAAACCTTTCCTGTCCCCTGCCTCAACCCCTATATATTTCCTTTACTTGGCTGAGTTCTTAGAATCTACACGGTCTTTTGTTGTCCTGTTTCTTCATACAGTATTTAAAAAAACACAGATTGACTTTCACTTAAATTCCTTTACATATTAAGATGAGTGGGGTTTTTTTTGTGTTTAATTTGAGACAGGGTCTCCTTATGTAGCCCAGGCTGGACCTGAACTCATGATCTTCTTGCCTTGACTTCCCCAGTGTGCACATTATATAGGCTTGTGCCACCAGACCTGGTTTAGTGGATTTTGGTTGTTTTTTGTTGTTGTGAATCAAAAAACCAATTATAAAGGTCAAAAAGCTATAATTCTGGTACTACAACAGTTTTTCTCAAATAATCTTTTTATAAAACTAAAACTCCAGGCTGGCAGAGTGGTTCAAGTGGTAGAGCACCTGCCTGGCCCTAAGTTCAAGCCCCCAAAATAAAACTAACCCAGTCAGGTATGGTGGTGCTCTTCTGTAATCGCAGCACTCAGGAGGTCAGCCTTGGGCTACATAAACCCTATCTCAAAAGTCAAACAAGAGGAAAGTTTCATTTTAAAGTTTTGTGGATGTGTGCAGTGTGCTTTGAACAGGTTCATACCTTATAATGTGGTGCCTTAAATCCTCTCTCCTCCCATTTTTCAGCATTTAGTAGGTTTCATTGTGCGTTCATATGTATACATATAGATCTACATTTACCTGTGTATCATACTTTGATCCTCTTCACCCTTTTATTATATTATGTTGAGTCTTACACATTTTTTATTGAATTTATTCCTTACTAGCTTATGTTTCAAGGTGATAGTATAAATGGTATCATTTTAATGTCATTTTCAAAATGTGGATTAGAAGTATACAAAAATCAATTTTGTACATTGATCTTGTCTCATGTGAACTTGTTAAATTAATTTTTAAATGTTGATAGTATAGTTTTAGAGATTTTTTTAGTCCTTTCTACCATACAATTGTTTTGTTGAATAGTTTTACTTTTCTCAAAAAAACCCCCTCCAAGCAACAACAACCCAAACCAAGCATACCAAAAGGTATGTGTATTTAAGTACATGTAATATCCAAAGATATGCATATTTATGTTTCATGAAACAATACTTATCTTCACCAGGAGTGTCCCCCCCCCAGCACTTCCAACCGAATTCAATTGAATTAAAGCACCTAAATTGATTTTGCGACCCACAGATTGAAAACACTGATTTAGAGAGAATCTGTTAAAACTTTATATATGTTTGTATCTTAATCACTCATGTTAAAGTGTTAAGGCAATTTAAATTTTTAAACATTTTTAACAGTTTCCTCCTTATAATTTGCTACTATCTGCAGACATTTTGGATTGTTTCCACAGTGTTTTATAAAAAAGCTACCAACTTAAAACTAGATATCGTCATGCAAGGTACTTAAGATTTGATTCTTAGATATGGAATAACTGAGTCACTGATTATGGACATTTTCCTGGTTTTTAAGAACATTCCAAAGAGTTATAAATTTTTGTAGTCTTACGAGTTCCATGTGAAAGTATCACTTTACCAGTGTTTCCTAAAACTGGCTATTCTCATTTTATAAACAGATAATTTGATAAAAATGGTAATAGTGCTAGTGAAATGAAACACTTAAGAAAATCTCTACTTGCTCAAATATTTTAGGTACTTAGTATTCTGAGTTTTTACCCTTTCACTAAAGTCCTAATGTGTTATTAGAGGTTCTTCATAGGTCAAAAGTATTTTAACCCCTTGGTATATTACTGGCATTTTTTCTAGGTTTCTAAACTATATGTGTATAAGTCTTATATGCATAAGAGTTTAAAACTATGTACAACAAGCTCACCTTATTCATGGCTTTATTACAGTTTTGACCAAACGTGGTCAAAAAAATTTTTAAATCAAAAGAAATTTCATACAAATTTTAAATTCCTGAGTCAGTCCTGCATTATTGTCAGTTGTGTTTAAATAATTTTGTGCTCTCTTGAGGGTTTCCTTGCTCTTAATTTTGTAAAACTTTGCCTGTCAAAAAGCAAACGATGCCCTAAAAGCAAGGTAAAAGTGAAAGTGCTTAATTGGAGTGACAAAGTGACAATGTGTGACAAAGGTGGTATGTCTTCAGCAGAAATTGAGTGCTGTTTTGAGAAAAGTGAATGAAGCATCCATAGTACAGTGCTGAACTCTGCATCTTGACATTTGGGTTTTCCCTGATGGTCTCCTTGGCACCACAGATACTGCAGTAGCTACTGTAGTAAAATATTTGCCCTTTATTTTTAGGGTTCAAAAAGCTTTCTTCTAGCTTGGGATCAGGTCTGTGTGTAGGGTAATTTTTTTTTTTCCAAAGTGTTGTCTGTGAATTAGTTGTATCAGTCATAGGAATGTTTACAATGGGTCTTCCTTGCTCTTGGCTCCAGAGACCATGATTAAGCAGTTTTGAATTGGGCCGACAGGAGTCAGGAGGGGAAGAAGTGGAAAACCCAGATACATATACAAACATGAAATGTAGCTTAAAAATTCTCAGTTGGATTAAAGAATTAGTTTTGCCAAAAAGTACAAAGGAACTTGAAATTTCAGGTATTTAAAATACTGGCGAATTGTCCAAAGGTGATTGTTTACTTTCACTTTCATAAATTTGTATTGTTTTTGAAAGGTTTACTTCTGAGTTAAGGGTTTTTATTTTTCATTTTACTTACACCTTTATTAGCACATATTAACTACACAATGTGTGGGATTTCATTGTATTTCCATACATGCATAGAATAGATTTTTGGTCATAGTCATACTTCTTTAGGTTCATATTCAGTCCTTAAAGTTACCTATTCTGTGATCCTCAAACTTTCTTTTTTCCCCCTCAGGTTGAAAACCTCAAACAGCCCTTCCAACCTTGGTGCTGCATCCCCCGCAGAAGGAATGTGGTGGGTGGTAGTGTGGACCTCCTAGCTAAGGCGTACCATGCTGCACATAGGAGCCTCAGGTGTTACAGGCCCGCAGTGTGCCGCGTGGACAGGTACCACTGGGTCAACACAAGTGATAACCCAGAGGCAAGGAGTGCAGTAGGAGAGCTCAGAGGAGAGGCTGTGGTTCCCCTAAAACAAAAACGAGTTTAAGATGAAAATAGAAAAACCTACACTAGGGAGGAGAGTTCATGACGGTGAATCCTTTCACATGTATCATGACTTTTTAGCTGAACTTTTAACTCTTAATTTTATATGAAGTTTTAGGTAACACCAGTGAATATGCCCAGTAAGGTAATGGAATGAAATACTGACTTGTGATAAGATTCAATGAATTATGAAAAGTAATTATTTCAATAAACAGTTTTTAATACCTTCCTAGTTCAGCTTGTTGCAAGAAAGTTCTTAAAATTTGTGTCTTTGTTAGTCATTGTTTTCAGAGTAGACTTTCATTTAAAAAAGGAAAACCCTGGTGGTATACTATTCTGGGTTCAGTTTTATTACCTCTCATACTTATTCTATTTTACAAGCCAGGCAATAGCTTGTTGGAAAATCATTTTTTAAGATACAAAAGTCCCCTTGTGTATCTTTTTAAAAAATTAACTTAAGAATTTAGTAGACTTAATAATATATTTCATAAAAGTGATACCTGCTTCTTATAAAGAATTCAAGCTTAGCAGAAAAACACACCACCAAGAAAAAAGAAATCCTACTGTCTAGCTAAAAATGACCATTACTAATATTAAATGGTGACTTTTTTGCAATCATCCAGTCATTCTGACCCTTTGGTCAGGGACAGCAGGCTTTTGGGATCTTTTATGGTCTGTGCTCAGTGGTGTTTATGGATTGTTGACCTCATTTCTAAGCTTGGAATGTATGACTAGAAAAAATTTGTGAACCTCACTGTCATTTCTTTCCTTGGGTTTTGAGATCCCCAGCCATTTTACCTTTTTTTTTTTTTTTAAATACATTTTTAGAGTTTTTATTTATATATAGTGCCCAGAGGTTTTAGTTGTACTTTGTGGGAAAAGTAGTAAAGAATGTCTACTCTTATCTTCCTGAAAATAGAGGTCTACAGACCATTTTCAAAATAAAAGATTCTTAAAACAAATATCATGCTTTTAGTAAAGGATCCTTTCTGCCAACAGTTGGTAAAACATGGTTTCTATATTGATTGAGGTTTTTTTTATCCCTTTTCTGGTCAATGGGATGTACATGTGTATATTTGCACACGAGCTGATTTCTTGAAGATAACTAGCATCTCAAACTTTTCAAAGAAACTTGCTGTTTTGATTCAACAATATACATAAATGCAGCGGGAAGAAGAACATGATCCCTGTCTTGGATCTGTGGCATTCCCATCAAGAAACAAATGCTTACTAAAAGCCTATAGCTGTTAGTGTATTAATGGAAATGGGATGGAGGGCCCAAAAAGTCAGCCAGGAGGTTAATAAGATCATGCTCTGCTAGTGCTTTGTTCAGCCAAGACTGAGGAATATGGGAAAGATCTCTAATTTCTGCACTATTTTTTCTTTGCCATTCTTACAGAGGCCCTGGACTTTTGACTCAACTATCCTAAATAGTCTTATGTGTCTGGCTGAATAATCTTCACTTTGCTTTCTGGGAAATATTTTTTTAAAATAATTTATGTGAGTAGCTAAATAAAGTTCTTGAGGACACATATCCGAAATTAATCAAATCAAACGAAGACCTTCTTCTCAAAGTACTAGAGTCTTTAATTTTGTGTAGTTGTTATGCATTGGTTTGGGGGTGTGCTTTGTTTACCAACTCCCAGCTCATGGATGAGATGAGAGATCAGCTCCCTTGTAACCTGCCCTTATAGGCAACTACTGGTTTGTGACTGTCTGTGTTATGAAAGTAATGTGATTTTAATGGAAATTGTAACTAACGAGGCCATTTGAAGGCTACAAAATTTAGTATGTGCCTTGCTTGTTGACTAATCTGTTTAAACTGGATTAAACTAAGTGACCACCCTCTAGAAACAAAGAAATCTGATTTCAATGTCAGTGTAAAGTGCGAGAAATGGAGGAGTAAGAATCAGTGTGTGGCTTCTGAGCAGACAGTCTTCATGGCTTGATATAAAAATCTTCTTTACACCTTAACTGTAAATCTTGTGATGAAGTGTCAAGTGTTTTTATTTTAACGTATTTTCTCTGAAGTAATGTACCATTAGGATTTTGGTTGGATTTATGCTTAATCCTTAGCCATATATGGGTATCTCCTCATTGTGATAAAGGAGCTACAGAGTGAAAATAGTGAATATGAGATAGACACTGAATTCACTAATCAATTACTGCTCATTAGTCACCCAAATAATGCTTGTGTTAATTCTTTACTAGCCTTTCTTCCATTGCTTTGGAGAATCATTAACAGTTGCTATATCAAAAAAATCCTTTCTGCTTTTTATGTTGAACCAAAATATGGAGAATTATTATACCTAATGGGAAGAAGCTTGAATTGTAGGCATTGGATTCAGATTTGTAATCTAAGCTGGCTTTTTTTTTTTTTTTTGTGGTACTAGGGCTTGAACTCAGGGCCTTCACCTTGAGCCAATCCACCAGCCTATATTTTTGTGAAGAGTTTTTCACGATAGGGTGTCACAGAACTATTTGCCCAGGCTGGCTTCAAACTGTGATCCTCCTGATCTTTGCCTCCTGAGTAGCTGGGATTACAGGAGTGAGCCACCAATGCCTGGCTGAGCAGGCTTTGATGTGGAGTTTATATTTGAATTTTTTCTTACATTAAACTCATGTGATGTCAGTGTCTCTCCTGATCTGTGCTCTAATCTATCCCAAAACTTAATTTTCAGATGACTGCTTACCTGTTTGCTTTGGTGTTCTAACCAGGGCATCCGATGAGAATTTTGTCTTATGTTGCTTGGTCTATATTTTAAGTACTCTCATTCTAGGTCCTCAAATATTATACAAACGTATCCACTGAATCATGTGATTTAGAAAGTTTTAGATGTTAGTCAGCCTGACAAAATAATATATATGAATGTTGTACTTTTGGAAAGAGGTCAATTAATATCTTCAATATATATTTTAATAATACATTTTCCTTTTATCTTCTGTGGCAAACATTAGCTCTTATTAAATATAAACCCAAAACTAACAGTTATGTGTTTTATATATGAATAGTACATTTTCAAATTCTCTTGGCTTCATCAGATGTCTTGATATATTTATAATCATGAAGATCAAAATGAGGTCACCATTTTCTTTCTAGATCTAAAAACAAGACAAACGTAAGTTTATAAAAAGAAGAAAGTAAAGAATTCCTAAAAATCAATAAGTAGACAATTCAATGGAAATGGGCAAAAGATTCAAAGACTTCTTTACAAAGGAAAATATTCAAATGACATATAAACCTGTCAAAGATGTTGAGTTTCGCTGGTCATCAGGACATGGAAATTAGTATACCACAAGCTCAAAAGATTGGCAGAAATATAAAAGATCTAAGATTATCAGAACTCTTACTCCCTGATAGTACATAGTTACACAATCATTTTGGAATTCTAGTTGGTAGTGTCTACTAAATGCTCTAAGACCAGAATTTCTAGTATACCTAAGTATACATGGCTAGTCACCAGAAGGTGTGCAAGAATAACTGTAATAATCTCTAACTGGAAAGAATCCACACACATCAACAGTATCAGATGAGCTGATATGTTCACACTTTATAGTGAAAAGAATCAGCAAATTACAACCAACAAATTACAACCATATGCAACAATATGGATGAATCTCACAAAGCTCAGCGAAAGAAGCAAAAAACCCCCTCATTTTATAATTGTAGTATCATGTTTGTGAACAAGCAAGGACAATGTTTGAAGTTAGAGTGATTACTCTTGGGACAGGTGACTAGAAGGATGAAGAAGATGGTTCTGGGAAATCAATCTGGATGCTGGAATATGGGACTATTAATATTGGACCATTCATTCAGGTGTATATTTTTGTTCACTTTTAAAGCTGTTATATTAAAGGTAACTTTAATCTCAAATGTTGGTGATAATTTTAAATAAAGTAGATTGGGGGTCAGGGCTATAGTTGGTGGCTCAGTTATTTCTCTAAATTGTTAGTTTCTGATTTTGAGGTTTTGTAGGTTACCACTCTGTGTGAGGGAAGTTAAGACTTTAGGGGTTTTCTTTACTAATATTCCCATCAGTATTAGAAAATACTAGTGTTGGTGGTTCGGAGCTAAATTTTTGTTGACTTTTAAAGATGCAACATTTTAAATATCTATGATTAAAAGCCTTTTTGTAAATCAGCAGTAGGAGCCATTATGGGTTAATTGGAAAAGTTCTGAATGAGAAGGCAATGGATCCAAGTTCTGGCTACTTTTTGTCCTCTTCCACTGGGTGAATGGGGGCAAGTCTGAACCTCAGTTCCTTCTCTCTACGATTAATACTTCATCCTTCTGCCTTTAGGCGAGTAAACTCTATGAACTTTTGAGTCCTTCCTACCTCTGAGATCTAATGAGAAAAGTTCTTAAAGTAACTGATGTAACTGATTCATACCACCAACAATTCCACGTTCTTTCTTCTGCCACGTTCAATTGTGAATACAAATACATTTCCCCACACAAATGGATCTTGGGGTATATGTAGCAGGGTATAATCTTATTAATCATATGGACATCTTACCTTATCTTTGTCCCCAATTCTTTCCCTTGGTATTCTTAGAATTTGTTGCTCTGTAGCAAGGATGCTTTTCAGGAAGTGTTCCATATTAGTGAAGAGGAGAAGATCTTGTTTCTCTTGATGTACTGTAGGGAGTGTGGAGGACAGAGTTAAAGGAAATGAGCCAAAATGTGGACCTATGAGTACTGTGTACAGTTTTGCTTTTAAAATTTAGACCTCTTCCTAGATGGTGATTGGCAGGCAGAGGACTAATATTCCAGCTTCACAACTGTGTCTCAGACAAGTTAACATTTCAAAGCCTTAGTTTTCTTATCTGTAAGTTAGAAATAAAAGTACCATCTATCATGTAAGGGCATGAGGAAGATTCAATAACACATGGAAAACTCAGCACAACATCTGGCGTGTGATAAACATAACAAATGTTGGCTATTTGTCTTAGAGTTAGCTCTGTAGATTGTGATATTTCAGTTCATAGCATCAACGTCCATGT